TTAAACACTGACATTTTGCTAACAATTTGAAATTATTTTAACTCGATTTCAAAAATAAAAAATCAGTTTTTGGTAAAAAAATTGTAATTTCTATTTTTATCTTATTTGTTGAAAATTAAAATTTTTAAAAATATCACTGCATAATATATCCCCTTTTACAATTTAAATTTTCATTAATAAAACATGATTAGTGCAATTTTTATTAAATATATTTTACATATTATTTAAAAAATTACCTCCAATAACTTAAACCTGGGAAAGTACTCAAAAATAGTACACATTTTCAATACCAAAATATTCAGTTAATGTATATAAAAAAATAAAAATATTTGGGGCGTCTAGAGCAGTGTTTCTCAAACTTTTTTGGTGACAGAAACCTTTTGAAATGCGAAATATATGACGGAGCCCTAATTTTATTTTGCTACTCCGGCGCATTTCTAAAAACAAAGTCCTCAAGTAAAATCAGATCCTTTCCTAATGAAATCTAATAAAAATAGGACCCAGGGCTCCGCGGAGCACATGAAACACTGGTCTAGAGGGACAGATTTGCGCAGGCACGATGGTAATTTAGTTTGCAGGGATACTGGACCGTTTTTATTTTTAAATATGGAGTGGTCCGAAGAAAATGCGTTAAACTTGGTGGAGAACTACAAATTATACAAATTTGTGGGAAAAAATTTGCAAGTTTATTGTCAACTCTTAAAAAAAACAATGTAATAGCTATATAATATTATGATTACTTTTATCGTTGTCTGTATAAAAATAATACAATAAAAAATAAGCCAACATGACTTGAACTTTTGGCAGATTTAAAGTGTACGCATATTACAGTATACACACAAGTCTACAATGGAAATTTTTAAATAGAAACCTCAATTACTATTAATTTTTTTCTAGTAAATAATCATTATTTACATAAATTATATAAATAAAAAAAAAATCCAATTCTGGCACGTGAGCGGTCAAAAATCCCATGTGGGCTTATTTTTTATCGTATTATCTTTATACAGACAACGATAAAAGTACCTAAACATAATATTACGCACTATGAAATCGAAAATATCGAAAGATTAGGGGTTCCGGTTCGGTTCTGAAAATTTAATAAAAGATAAAAAAATAATGATTCAGTTTCGATTGATTACAGTCCACAAAAAAATATCGATTTAATGTTTTAAATGGTACAATGGTTCGGATCCTTGAATTAAATAAAGTTTAATTTTATCTATAAATATTACGCTGTTGCTAGGTATACGCTAAAGTGTACGCAATTCAAAAATTTATATACAGGCGAAACGTCATATTGCTGTGGTGGGAGGTGTTTGTGTGAATGCGTCTTGTTTGTTTTCATTTACGCCGTGACTAGCACAGTAGTATTTTATAAACCTTAGAAGCAAATTTCACATACATGAACAAATAATAATAATGCCGTGACAGAAGGAAAATGAAGTAACGACTTCTCGTAAGGTGGCGGCTTCGCCGCCACAAAAAAATTTCAATCCATACCTAGCTACGACCGGCGTAGACACCAACGGCCTGCACACAGCTCACCTACTCTGTCAAGACGTTTCGCGTGTATATAAATTTTTGAATTGCGTACAAGTTAGCGTGTACCTAGACACTGTGTATATATTACTGATATTGACATTTTCCTGATCCCATTCACGATTTTGCTTTGTTTTTTCTTTACTTACAAGATTGCAAATTTTCCGAAGGTTGATGTAATCTACAGTCTGTTCGCAATACTTACGCGGGTTTCGGATTAACAAAATTATGCAAATTAGTCATTGACAACCAGTTCCAATAAGCCTCTTCCCAAGGAATTAGGTAAAATTGCCATAATGCTCAGATTTAAATTAAAATAACATTAGGGTAGGTACTAAATTTGTTAGAAATATTGCATAGTTGAATTGATTATTTGCAAGTGTTGACATTGTATGTATGTTGTAAATTTAGTGGAAATTTTAAAAATGCCTAGACGTGTGTTAGATGTAGATAGTCTAATTTGTAGTGTACATAAGTATTTTACGGATGAAAAAGAAAATGGCGGTCCTTTAAAATCGGTAATGTCTGTACAACAACGCGTATGCGATGCTCTAAGAATTATTGAAACCAAATTAAGAGGAGTATTACAAAATCACAATAGTGAACTGCCGATAGAAGATGACCGCAAAACTCGCCCATCATTGAAAACGAAAGATATTCCAGATGGAAAGAAACTTGAAATTCGTAATACCATTCATCGAATGAGGGCCAACAAGGAACATGTGACCTTAAATACAATTCTCTCGGAATTAATAGATAGAAAATTTGACGACATTGGCAGAATAAGTCTATGGCAAGTGATACATAGGTAACTTGGGTTTCAAATTTCAAAAGGAGGATAACAGAAAGGCCCTTTGTGAAAGAAGTTCTGTCGTGCACAAGAGAATTAACTTTCTAAGAAAATATTCTAAATTTAAAAAAGAATATATTTAGTCGAAACATGGATATTTTCTAGGGGTGCAACCAAGAGAATATGGCAAGATGATAACGTAGAGCCCATCAATCATGTCGATGGAGAAGGGAAGCGACACATAATTTTACATGCAAGAGGGAAATCGGGTTTTATAGAAGGTGCTGATTTAATATTTTCATCTTAATCAAAATGCACTAAATCCAGTGACTATCACGATAATATGAACACAGAAATGTTTGTAAAATGGTTGCATGAAAAACTTCTCCCAGGTTTAAGTGAGCCCAGCGTAATTATTTTAGACAATGCACCTTACCATTCTGAAGTATTAAACAAAAGTCCAACGAATTCTTGGACTGTTGATAAAATTAAAGAATGGTTGATAAAGGAACATATACCATTTCCTCAATATATATTAAAATCAGAATTATTACGCTTGGCAAATATACACGCAAAACCAAAAACCTTTGTTGTGGATCAGATTATTGAAAGTTACGGTCATCAAGTTTTACGTCTGCCACCGTATCATTGTCAGTTTAATCCCATCGAATATATATGGGAAATAGCAAAACAATATTATGACAACCATATTGGGCCTAATGATTATAGTGACGACGCAGTTCGGGAAACTTGGCGAAAAGCACTTTCAATTGCAACTCCAGAAGTGTGGCGGAACTGTATATCCAAGTTCGAGAAACTAATGGAAGATTGGTGGACTCGTGAAAATAAAATAAACGAAATAAGTCCAATCATAATAACAATTAATGGTGATGACAGTGATGATGATGACGATTATGATATTTTGGATGATATTGTCTGATTTTCATTTTTGTTGGCAAGTTCAATTTTTTATTTTTCATTTGAAATTCTCTACATGGAACAAATTTTTATGTTACAAAATATTTTATTTGAGCTAAATAACCCTCTTATTATACATAGACCATATTTTCTGTGTGAAGTGTAATATAAAATTATTATTAGGTTTATAATAGCCACATTAGACTCCATTAATAAAGAAGTTTAATATTGCTCTCAATTATACAAAAGATTCTCCATTATTATTTAATTAAAAAGTTGTACATTATTTTTCATTTCATTTAGCCAGTTGATATTTCCCCAAACAGGTCAAACTTTCGGGTACTTACCTGGAAGTACTCATAAAATTTTTAATCCGAAACCCGCGTAAGTATAACGAACAGACTGTAATTCTACGCATCAACCTTTCTTTTTAAAAATATGCTATATCTTTGGGGTCCCACACATTTTTATACAATTTGCAGTTTTTACTAAATTTATTGAATTTTTGACTGGATTTGTGAATGCAATGTAAAGAATGCCTTTTTTTGTTTTCCCTATAGTTTTGTTTTGTCCTGATGATTCATTATGGACTAAAATTGGCGTTACTGACCTAAAATATTTAAAAGGTGGCAAAACATTTTCCTTCTGTCATACATATGGCTTGAATATGTTATATTCCAATAAAAATTATTAATATAGTTAAACATTTTATTAAAAAAGGTAAACAAATATAATGTTATCAAATATTAATCAATTAAAAAGACTATCTCTAATAATTACAATTCAAATTAATACCCATTTATTCCTACTACTTTCTTTTAATAAATTTATTGAAATAACTTTAAAATCTCTAATAAGGAGTCCAATCTATACTTGCGTAATCATTTTTCTTGGTATAAGAATAATACAATAATTTATTTTACATTTGTTAAATTTCTATTTCTGATAATAAACCCAGTGGCGGATTTAGAGAGGATGCGCGGGGGAACCCCCCTAGATCCTTTCTAAATAAAGGTAAGTAACATTCTGTCTAAATCGATTTAACATCATCGTCTACAAAACTGCGATTCTGATTATTTTTCAAATATTTACAAATATCTTAACAAGTAACAAGTCTCTACTCAGAGGCTTTTAAAAAGATGGACCAAATTTCAAACTTACCTAAAGATAATTAATTCATATTAATTAAAAAAGTGTTCAAACTTTGTTGGTTTATTAATTTAAAATAATTATAAATTTATTATAAGTTTCTAAAAAAAATTGCAAAACTACTGCAAACTTGAAGCATATATTGTATTATTTTCAAATAGTACATATATATTGCTTCAAGTTTGTAGCACTTTTGAAATTTTTTTTCTTTGAACAAAAGCACCTTGTAAATAGTTGCAAATTTAAACTAGCCAATTATTTTTAAAAAGTTTGAAAAGTTTTGTACTTAGTGAAATTTTGAAAATGGGATGTTTTTACTGACTAGCCTATATTTTAGGAGTTTACACAGAACTTTTTTGATAGCTTGAATATGAACATTGTAACAAGGAGTCCAAACTATACTTGTGCATTCAACTTTTATCGTGATATAAGAATAATAAAATAGTTTAATTGTTTTTATATTTATTAAATTACTGCTATTATTTCTGACAATAAACTTTTTAAGATCTAAGTGATTCAGGAATTTTAAAGTTGTACACAAATAACAAATATAGTTTGATCACTCTGTTTTAAATTAAATTAAAAAAAAAGGAAAACTCACCTGCACATCTGGCCTCAGCAAATTCATGAAAGCAGACGATATATTCCACGTGTGTATTGTATACCACACGGTTCCGATAAAAGTGTCTCCGGCATTTAAATAAAGCACATTAGGTCCTACTCCGTCTCCAGCTTCTTGTCTGTATTTTCTAATCATATGAGCAGTCCTGGCGAAACCTCCAACACAACTTTTATTCTTATGAGCCGGTAGGCACGTTCCCGAATTCCTTTCCGTTTCCTCGAACCTCCCGTGAATGTCGTTGTTGTGCAAAATCAAAAGATCAAAGTTGCACAGAACAGCGTTCGATAGTGCCAAAATTACCGCTATATATTTAAACATGGTTAGTTATAATTATAATTGTATAACGTCGACTAGACAGCGAACTTTAAATGATTTATAATAACGACATCTATAAACGGAATAATTTGAATCGGAGGTTCGACACGCTGATCATACTATTTCATGCTGAAACAAAATGTAAATGATGAAGGTGAGGAGACTTTAAGATGCCCACCTTTTACAACACTAGATATGTCGAGGGTCTTTTACTTTCGATAATACCGGATGTCCCGTTGAACCATTTTAGACATTAGCTACGTAAAATTGTTATAAATAATATAAAATGTATATTTTTCTGTTTTGCTTAAAATTATAAAATCTATAAACTATTTCAGTGTGACCATACAATTTGGAACACCTCTATAAAACATTAGCAGAACTATAATAATTTATCTACAAAAAATTCGGGTTGTTGTGATGATGGGTCCTATGATTGAACGTTTAAGTTATCCGTAACATACATGTTAGGCCAAATTTTAACAGAAACAAGGCAAATTCGTATGATGGAAACTTTTTTATAACACATTATTGTTATTTTCCGCCTGTTATGTTTTAATTTAACATAACGCGGGCAACCTGGCAAAAACTCCTATCTGCAATTTTTACCGAAAATGGGTTATTACTGCTTTTGCATTCTACGGTATGGCAGCAAAATCTCATGTAAAAAAACTACGTCAAAACTCGTTTCGTGGAAAGGTATCAACATCTAAATAATTTCTTTCAACAATTGCCAAAATTACCCGCACATTACTACCGCAAGGATACATTAAAGTTATTCTTAGAGACTTCTTTTCAAACGCTAAGTGATTTGAACAAAGTTTATCAAGAATATTGCAAAGAACAGGGGCGTCCTTCAATGAGTAGAAATATATTTAACAAAGTCTTTCACGAAAAAAATCTCACTTTTCCGGCAAAAAAAGACCAGTGCAACACATGTTTTTCGTATAAATATAAAAATAAAACTGAAGAGAAGTGGAAAATTCATGTAGCCAATAAAGAAAAGGCTAGGAAGGCAAAGACAACCGACAAAGAATTAGCTGAAAAGGGGAAAATTGTGACATTAACAATGGACTTACAGGCAGTCAAACTAGCGCCATTTTTGTCAGCTCGAAAAATCTATTTTAAAACAAAACTGTGTTGTCACAATTTGGCCACTCGTGATGTAACTTGCTACTGGTTTTCCAAGGACCAAAACAATCAGCTACAAGCTTCTACGTTTACTTCTTGCATAATAGACTTCTTGGAGAAAAATTGTTTGACCCCTGACAAGTTGCCCATTATTATCTATTCTGATAGTTGTGGCTTTCAGAATAGAAACAATATTTTGTCCAATGCTATTTTAAACTTTTCCATCAAACACCAAATATTTGTATACCAGAAGTATTTAGAGCCGGATCACATTCAAATGGAGTGTGACTCGGTTCATAGCACAATAGAGAAAACTACGTTATCGCGAAATACATTTATCAAGTGATTACGCTTCCGTTACTAAAGAATCAAGACTAAATCCTAAACCCTATGATGTACAAATTTTAGACTACAACTTTTTCAAAAACTTTTCTGATTCCAAGTTTCATCGATATTCTTCGATACGCCCAGGTAAAAAGACCAATGATCCCGTCGTCAATGATATTAAATGTATGAAGTACATCCCCAACGGGAAAATTCAGGTGAAGTTAGACTACGATAGTAAGACCTGTAAGACCAAAGATTTTGGACTAAATAAATGACTACCCACAACTTTTAAAAAGCCAATGTAAAATTAAAAGAGAAAAATGGAACCACCTTCAGGATCTTAAAAGATACGCATTCGTTTTACGACAATCTGCTTTTTGATTAGTTTCTAACATTAATTACTATTATTGTAGTACTTAAACTTAAATCAACTTTTTGATCTCTCTAATATTATCAGTTATTTTTTTTTCTTTTTATATAATCCCAAGCAAAGATGGTGTTCTAAACTATTCGTTTATTTTAATAAAGCTATTTTGAAATTATTTTGCTTACTTCAATGTATCTTATCCGAAAAAAAAAGCGATGCAAAAACTCCCTTTAGTTATTTTATCAATGTCAATATCTCCCATCTGACCTATATGTTTTTGTAAGAACTATATTGTACAAACAATTTTTAAATATAACAAAGAAAATAGTCCAAATGCACTTTTAAACAAAAAAAGTAGCAAAATATTCTTTTAAGAGCCGTAGCAAAGTTTTTTGTGTTTCCTGTAAAGTTTACCAAAAATATGCAGCTATTTTGTCTAATTATGTCTAAATATGCAAATGTATATTTGTTAAAAATACTTAAAAAACAAAAAAATAGGGGGTGGGTAGCTCAGCAGTTAAGAGCGTTGGCCTGTGGACCTAAGGGTCCCGGGTTTAAATTTTTTTTAATTAATTTAATTATTAAAAAATAATTCTGATGCCTAGCGAGGATTCCTACTCAACCATTCACTGTTGGATTCTAATTGTTCATTGTTGAACCGGTTGTTATTTCATTTTTTGCAATGATGTTTTCACGTGTTAAACCACTTTGAAATTTTTTTCACAAACAACTATTTTGGCACAAGCTTTACAAAAAACTTTATCCCCATTGATTTCCAACTCTGGAAAGTTAATAATCAACAAAAAAATTCTCGACATTTTATACAACACTTTAAAAACAACAAATTATTACAAGACTTTTCACTGGCAAAATATCTAGGATACTACCGGACAGAACTCTAGCATTAAACTGAATTAAAAACATCCAAAATATTCCGATGTCAGGGTAGATTGTTTTCAAGAAATTACTGGGAATTTTAAATAAACCGTTTTATTGCATTGTAGGTAATACTTTATCTGTGGAAATACCAATCCAATAACAATTGCCTTAATGGGCTTAATTTGTTAAGAAGGTAAAACCCGGTGCACGCCAACCTGCAAAAACTAATTAACAAGAATTTACAAGAAGTAAGGCTTTTTTTTTTGGAAAATATGCAATATTTTCTTAAATTTTCTGAACTTTGGTAAAATATGCAAAAAATGCATAAATGGGTGATTCTCGCCTAACTGTGATTTTTTATGTCCAGTGTTTTATTTATCGTTTAGCATAAGTTTTCCTCATCAAAAAGTTAATAATATTATAAATTTAGAGGTATTTTACAACCGACATTATGAATTAGATCATAAACCTTCGTAATTTTTTTTTAGCTGCATATAAATATACTCGAAATGTCAGTACCGTGGCATGTCCGATTCTCATTTTTAAAATTAAATATATAAATTTCTATCAAAATTCATTTTTTAATATAAAATTTACCTCTTATAATTACAATCTAATGCATACTGCATTGAATTTTATTGCAATTTTATAGCAATCTTTGGATTGGTAAAAAAAAATAATCATTTATATGTCAGTACCGTGGAAATAATGTCAATACCGTGGCATTAAAAGTGTCGTAGCTGTAGTAGAACCACTTTACAGGCTTATTTCTATGCATAAATAGAAAACAAAAACGCGTAAAACATACGTTTTGAAACATTTTTAATTTTAGAAAAATGTAAGTTGTAAAAATCACAGTTAGGCGAGAATCACCCATATATGCATTTTGCATATATTCCGCTCTTTAGTTGTCACTTTATTTGTTTATTATTTAATTGTCTAATACCTAATCTGAATTCTTAGTATATTTGAATCTGTTTTTAATTTATATGAAAAAATGTACTTTGTTTCACCAGTTAATATTTGACCTTTTGAACAAAAGCTTTTATTGCAGTAAAAAAACAGAATATTTAAATTAAAAACCTTTTTTTAAAAATGCTACACTTTTTTACAAAGTACTTTGATCACAGATGTCCCAAGAAGATGTCCAACAATTATAGGACTGACTGAGTGCCAAAATAACAATATATCAAAAACTAGCCATAGAATATAGTTGAGCCCGTAGATGCTTTAATTCAGAAATTGCTAAGTCCTCAGCCAGGGGGCGCCACTGCGATGAAATAGATTTTTTTTGTAATTTATTGCTACGAAAATATCTGAAATATTTTGATAAAGGAAAAGAAGTTACCAAAAAAATTAAAAACAAAAGTGAACACTCTTTCATGTCACCTTAATATACCTATTTCATATTGTAAAAAATTAAATGAAACAATATTTTCAACAAATTTAAAAATAAATAAAGAGATAAAATAAAAATATATCAGAATGTAGGAAACAAAATTTCTTACCTTCTTTTTAACGTCTATAATTATCCAAAACCTATTCAGGTAACAAAAACACAATACAACAACTATAAACTACTTTTTAAAGGTTAAATAATAATTGATGGTGAATCGCAACTAAGCAAAATTTAATTGACTGGTTAAATTATAGTTTAACAACAATATAAATGTGTCTACTAAAAAAGTTACTGTTAAAATGAACATCGACCGAGCCAGGCGAAATTATTTTTTAAAATGTATAGATAATATTATTGCTGAATAAGATTGTTACAATAGCATAATTATAAAAATGTTTATGAGGTATCCCTATTGTTAAACATTATTTAACTAAGCTGTAAAAGAGATTTGTAATTGTGGGGTCATAAACAGTTAAATAGATTGTTTGAAGGGAATAAAATATTGAAATGAAAACAGAGACGGATTCGCCCCAGTATCTATGGAATGAAAAATGTAAGAAATAATATAAAATTATAATGAAACACGATAATAAAGTAGCAAACTGAGTTTATTCCAATCGATACAACGAATATGTCTTGACTGCAGTGTTGCCAATACTCAAACTTGAAATTATACGGTGGCTGGATACAAAAGATACGCTTTTTATACGCCTTTGTAGATTTAGCTTTGTGTAAGAATGATTTTATTTTCTATACAATATTATTAAGTTTTATTTTACGAAACACCCGGTTCTTTTTAAACGCACGAAATATTTGTCTTCCATCCAAAACAGCTACAATGTTTACATTAACACCATTAAGATACGGAAATATCGGATTACGAATATAGGAACTAAGGGTAAAATATCGAAACAGGCATAAAATACAGATCATTCTGAATTTGAGTTAGTTACTTTACGGAACAAAATTAAAGTTCGTTCCAATAATAATAATAATAAAAAAAACTGGTGAATAATAATTTTTGTGGGTGGCTGTTTGCTGAACAGGGTGAGTTTTTCTCACTGAGTAATTATGTTTCATCAATTAGTTTTGTTTTAATTTGTAATCAAGTTCTTTTGCAAATTATATTACCCAATTATTATCCATCAATCTTTTATAGTTAATTTGTCAATTCTGACGTACAGTGATGGATTTACGCCTAGGCCCGTGAGGCCCGGACCTAGGGCGGCATAATTTGAAGGGCGGCAAAATTTATGAAATGCCACAATTTTAGAGGCACAAAAAAGTAAAGACAATCAATTTCAAAAATTGGTTCAGATTAGTTTTTATAAAAAATTTTCGATAGAAAATATTATAATTCAATTCATTAATTTACTTCTCAATCTGTATGGGTAACATATTAATTTTTTAATCGATCAACTATAGTCTTTATCGAGTAATATTCTTTACTTTTTGTTCCTTTAGTGAGATTAATCTTACGTGCATGAAACATTTTGAAATTATTAAATCCGAATGACTTCTCTATTTGTTTATAGTGTGAAATAAAAATACCGAAGATTTGCATGTACCTGATTAAAAAAAACTATTAACATAAAGAAAAAAGTATTGGTTTTCTATTCAATCCAATACTTTTCAATACTTTTTTCTTTGTCTCAATATTTTTTTTTATTCAGGGGTATTGAATATCGTTATGATATTCATTTAAAAGTGTCAGAACATTTTTTGTTTATAAAAATAATTTTTTATGAAAAATAAATCCTGTCTTTTTCCATATTCAATTTTTTAAATCATCAAAATAACTGTTAAAAAATTGAAAGTTTTATCTAAAATAAAAAAAAATTAATTCGATATTTCTCATATTTGCAAAATCTTCAATTATATCTACAAATTTCAATAATTTCTGAAAATCCAAGTGCAAGAATTTCGAAAAATTGTATTTCAATAAATTAAGTTACTTTAAAATAAAAATATTGGATAAAAATTAATGAAATTAATTTTATCAAAAAGGGCGGTGTATCGAACGGGGCCTAGGGCGGCAGCAAGCCTAAATCCGTCACTGCTGACGTAAAGATATTTTGTCAAGTATTGAGAAAACCTTATATCCTAAATTAACGGGGTTATATTAAATAATTAAAACTTATTTGAATTTAACTATTTACTTATATTTTGTTTTCCTCTACGAGGTGTAATCAAAAGTAAAGTGAGTTAGATTGTCTGTTCTGGCGTAGTACATTGCGGTCAGTGTTTGCGTTTATTTAGGGATTATTCCCGGAGTCGTCGCACCATGGTTGGTGCGGGCTAGTGACATTGCGGTCAGTGTGCTAGTAATGGCTTTTTATATATCGATCGATGTTCGGGCATTGCGGTCAGTGCCTACAGAATTGAGAATATAACTTTTTGTCAATTATGGAAAATTTAAAGTTGTGTCAATTATATTTTTTTTTATAATCAATATTTTGACATATTTATCATGTATAATTTTCTTGTTAATTAAAAGGATAATAAGTATTTTATTTATGGATATCACCTTTTCATGACTTTCTTTAATATAAAGCTACCTTTGGTAAACTTGATTGCTCATACTTGTTTTTCTTTTATTTCAGGTACGCCATCTCATAAGGGCATTAATTACATCTCATACGTGCATTAAGTATTTTATCTATTTTATTTTACTATTATTTTATTTGCATTTTATTTTTTTTTTTCATTTAATACTTATTTCTAAATAATTTTATTTTGTTCTATATTTTATCTTTCAATTTAAAGTTATTAAATCGTTTATTGAATTAATTTCTAGTTTTCCTGACATTGATTAAGTAACTAAATATTACCGCCCAAGTTTACAATAGATATTTTTAAATTACAAATATCGTCCTATATTTGTAGCACCTTTACATTTGAGGATATCAAATTTGGTTTGTGAGATGGGGACTGCCGAATAAATGTAGCAATGCAGATTCGTTCAGACTGCCAAAAGCTAAAAGTTTCAAAGCAAAGTGCATTTCAACAATACGAACAATATCTATTCGATGAATCCCCGGGTCCGGGCCTGTTTTCATTGATCAATGACATGGAGTGTGGCTTTCTCTAAAACAAGCAGCCAGCTACCAGTCAGCCACTGTTTAATAAAAGTACACCAGAAGACACACTGAAACTACTAAGTTGTCCAAATAAACTCAGAAGTGACTAAACTTATTTCTAAAATAAATGGAAATCCAAAAATATCCAATTTTTTCCCAGAATGAACGGAAATTATACGGAATTTCAAAGAGTTAGAAAAAGATACGCTGGCAAGTCAGAATATACGAGAATCGTATAATTATACGCAAATCGGCAACACTGGTCTTGACTGACTAAAAAACCAAAGCATCTTCAAAAAGGAACACTCAACAATCAAGAGCGTTAACATAAACAAAACTGCACGTGTGCAGAAATATAGTGGCCCCTTTGTTAAAGAATCCATATAATATTACACACTTCATCATATTCCTACATGAACAATTTTGAAATGAGATATCAAAGTAAAACAGATATAAATATTGGTAGCTGAACAAGGAAATAAAGAAACAATCGATGATTTTTAGCTGTTTTTATTTAAAAAATACGATATAAATAACTTATAATATTGTTTTTTTTTAAATACTATATACTTAGGGTGATACAAAAATTTCAAATATTTAGTTATTCTAATTATTTTAAAACTTATCGCCCTTCTTTTTTTAAATTTCCAGTAGTAACTCGCCTTACTTCCATATAAACGAACAGTCTTGATTTAGAACATATCAAGGCTATTAAAGTAGGACAGTACGTTAATTTTCCAACACTGACTCCAGAAGAATGGTATAGAGAAACAATGTTATTAAATAAACAAAAATAGAACAATAAACCAGTGACGTAACTACAATGGTGCCAGTTGTGCGGTGATACCAGGGCCGTTTATTAGTTTAGTTATAACTCTCTCAACCAGTTAATATCACGAGATTGAAGAAGCTTCAGTGAACGTTGACACACTAAATACTTTTGAATAATTTTACGAAAGAAAAAAGAATGTATGTGCGTAAGAATGTATTACATTCCTTATCAAAGTTTCAATAAAGGTCTTCTTTCTTCCTGGAATCTTTGAGACTTCGTCAATAACTGTATCTCCTTTAATAATATACATTGTCAGCTTAGATATTCCAGTATAGGTACCACATTTAGTGGCTATTTCCTTCACAGAAAGTGAAGTCTTTTCGAAGATTGTTAATACATTAAGTGCGATTTTTTTTTCTTCTAAAGATAATACTTTATGTCCACTAGGTTGTTTACGCGTACTTGTGCTTGTAATATTTTCTAATGCATTCTTATATAACCGTAAAATTATAATACAAAATTCCGAATCAATTAAAGTACACTTATCTGTCAAAAGTAAAGGTTTATTACAGTAAAAATCATGGATCAAGCCGATCAGATGTATAAAAATTTTCATTTTAACTACAAATAAGCATTGAAGGATGAGGTATAAATAAAATGTATACCTCTTACGTTCCGCAAATTAAGTTACTTCACTCTATAAACTATAAATGAGATCAACTATCGTGGACCCCATTTACATGTCACATGGCCCCTTATTGGTCATCGGCGACCCATAGGGGTCGATATATACAATACACTTTGGGTATCATTGAGTTAATCATTTTCCATTATTTTATTATAAAAAAAAATTCCTGAGTTGATATTTTATTTTAATATTACAAAGTAATCTATTATAGTTGGAAACCTATTTCACGTTTTTGATTTTGAACAAAAAACGTATGCTAAACAGTTAGATAATGATATATTTATTATATAATATTTGTAAATTTTTTTGAAGGACAGCGGAAGTTCTAATTATTTCTATAAATAAATACGTAGTAAAGTTTTTTAATACAAAAAACTTTATCTCTTCATTTATTTATTAAAATAAGGTCGGCAAAAAGGAATTTAAAGAAACAGACATATTATACCCCTCCTTTGTTGTATCTCAAAAATTAGGAGGACCCAGAATATTATGAAATTTCGTATATACCTTAAATATTGGTCGAAAATAATGAAAAACACTTTTCCCCAAACCCAAACATGTCCGGATAAATCCAGACGCATGGAAACCCTAGATATATCTGATAGTTTTACATTTGAATTGGAGTACAATTTATTCTTGAGATTTCTAAAAGGTATTTTTTGAAATTTTTCCTAAAATAGCGTCAAAAATAATTATTGAATATGTGATATTTATAATCGTCCTGGAGACATCACCTGTTGCATCGCAAAAAATTATAAATAAATTGTAAAAAACAAAAAACTTAACGAAGTTACCTAACCTGTGCGGACTGAAGCTATGGAGGGTTAATCATCTTTAGAAATTCGATGGTACAACTAGATGGTAGGATTGTAGCTATAGTAGCGTATGCTGCTTTTAGAACAAAAAGAACGGAATTATTATTTTTAGTTATTAAAAAATAATATTTCGCTATCATGTCTATTTCTATCAGGGTATCTAATTTTAATTGGTTCATTTCTAATCCACTAGGCAAGATAATCGCAATCTGTGTTAGCACGAGCATTGTTTTTGTATAATTTTTTCTTCGCCAATTATCTACAAGTACTATATAATTTATTTAAAATTAAATAGATGGGCTTGTTGAGAGATTTAGATAAGATAGGTAAACATTAAAATTATTAAATTTTAAAAGGTTACCTACATTTTTTTACATTAAGTAGAACATAAATTTTCAAGGGTAATATTGTGTATAAGTATGAGCGCAAGATTAATTTTTTTATTAAAAGACATCATTCGTTTTTTACAAAAAGTATTTTATGATATAAATTTATCTATATTTTTTATTCAAAACATTAAACAAAGACAATCAAAACTTGTTAAAAACGCTAACAACATTTCTATACACTAATTTTGGAGCATTATTGCCGTAAGTAAAATCTAAATGATTAAATGTATCTTCAGTAACCAATAGTTTTCCTTGACAATTGCTGAGCTCCTTGCATAACCTGTCGACATCCTGTATACCAGCCATCCAATCGTTTCTACTGTAGAACAAAAACACCGGAGCAGTAACCTTGCTTAGATCGTAATTCGGAGGAAAAACTGATTTATATCGTTCAAGATTTCCAAACAATCCGAAATCATATTTTCTAAAATGGCCACTGTCGATTTCTTGAGCGTAATGTAGAAGCTGTTTCGTAGCAGATCCTGCTGGAGTGTGATGCATAATAAGAGGAACTCTGGTCATATTCATCTCACTATTACTGAATCCACATAGAACAAATAACACATTTTCGCATAGTATTGGTCCTAATCCAATTGAGCACATTTCTTCGGTGACCAAGTGTAAAAATCCAGAACCTGGTAAGAATTCATTAGCTCCTATTAATTTTATTAAAACTTCTATCGCTCCTTCCCAGAAAGATACCATTCGCAACAGAGGACTAGTCAAATGTTTCATGTAAGCTATAGGAGCTAAGCTAGCTTGTACTTTAATCTTACTGTTATATTCCGGTTTTTGAGAAGCCATTACGAAGAAGCTAGTGGTACCTTGGGAGTGGCCAGCGTAGTATACTCCATCTACACCGGTAACACCCAGAACGTAATCTATCATAGTAGGTAAGTCTATTTCACCGATTTCATTCCAGCTGAATTGCCAAAAGTGGCCATCTTTATCTGGATTGTACTTGGTATGGTTCCTAGAATAAAAGTTTCCTCTTGCGTTTCCCATCCAGACGTCGTATCCTTCATCAGCAAAAATGTAACCAAGAGAATGTTGAGGTCCAAAGAGTACCCAATCTGCGGAAGACGTCAAAAGGCCGTGTTGTAGAAAAACAACCTTGTTATTTGTTTTTCCATCTTTTCCTGTAGGAATCCTATGCATACACAAGTTATATCCATCAGGGGTTGTGACATAATGGGTTTCTACAGGGTAGCCTTCATCGGATATCATCTGAGGAGCAGTTCTGTCCAAATTACTATCACCAACTGGCTGAGAGTTCACAACTGTATAATGTACAAGAAGTACAACAATAACTTTTGTTATTATCATGTTGACTAAATGATACACAATGATAAACAACAATATATTGATGAAAAAGGTTTTATACAAAACTTTGAAATTTCACAAATATATTTTAATTTGATTATCTATATGATAATGTATTGATTGTGTTGAAATATATTGTCTGTTTGTAATTACTGTCTATCTTAATATTCTTTAGATAAAGAATCAAATAAAAATTAAAACAATAATAAAAAACACACAAAACACGAGAGGAATCGCAATTTTAAAGTAGATATGATGCCAATTTACAATCAATAAAAACCAGAAAATTTAAATAAATCCTGTTAGTGCTGGATTTGCACCATTTTGCACCACTTAAAACACAAATTGAAATATTCTAGTTATATTTCTAATTATATTCCACGCTTTGTTTTCAATTATCATAAGTAGTATCCCCCCTTTCCCCGCTCTGTGACAACGATTTTAAAGTTTAATTACTTTCAAAAGTATTTAGAAAGTTCCAAAATAACAACTGGTCGTGCCAGTCCTTCCCACCTCTAAAAAAAGAAATCATTTAAATATTTTGCGTGATAGGTATAAGGTTGCTTTGTCCAATTAGATAATTGACTTACAAGACAATCGACCTAGAGGACAATTTACCGACAGGCCAATTTACCGACAGATCAATTTGCCGACAGGTTAATATAACATTTATTATTTACTCACGATGAGATACGTTGATTGGAGACTCTCACGTTAGTGTATTTATCATCATGAAAGAGCTTCAAAAAATAGTAGCAAAATGTCTGGCTACTATAATCGCAGACAAGGACAACATACAAATTCTTGATTACCTTCGTGGAGTCGCCTATAACATGGCCTTCTAAATATAACATTGTTTTCTAGTATGTAAATTGTTTTTGATTAAAAAATTCTTTTAATTAATTTAGTATTAATTTTCCAGAATATTTGTGAATTAACTTGTCACTAAATTTGCCTGTCGGTCAATTATCCTGTCGGTACATTGGTCTGTCGGTTTACTGACCCGTCGGTATATTTGTCTGTCTGTACATTGGCCTGTTGTTATATTGGCCTATTGTTATATTGGCCTATCGGTATATTGGCTTGTCGGTCAATTAACATGTCGTTATATTAGCCTGTCTGTCAATTGTTAGTCGACCCAGACCCCTTATAAATATATTTTTTTATTTTTTGCCCTAGATTTGCATTAATTCCGCAATGTAAAATTGGTCGTATAATCATTTGCGTTAAACTTTGAGCGTTAGAAATATGCATTTACTTATAAGAAAGCATATAAATGGCCCTTCGAAATTTAAAACTTTTGCATTTTTTTTTGTTGACTAAATTAGAAGCAAATAACAATTCTTTTGTTATTATATATATAAGGTTGCAAATTGGAATAGCTATCCCAAAAACTTGTATGATCGGTTTGCAGCACTTTGGCAATTTTTTCAACTATGATAATAAGCAAAAACGCTATTTTACAAAAAATAATCATGTTGTGCACTTTCAAAAAAGTTAAAATGTTAAAAAGATACAAATAGATATTACTTTAAGTGTGCAGTAATTTTACACTTTTTTCCTCAAAATTAAAAATGTTGGTTTTGGAACTAAAAGAACGAAATTATTTGACCGGCCTATTATTCGCCTGCTGTGGAATACAAAAGTATTTCATATAATTAATTATTAACCTTCGAATTTTGTTCACAGAAATATTCTGAAAATAGGCTTACTTACATACAGATATCTTGTATCTATGGTTGTCTAAAAACAGGTAGTTTTAAAAGAATGTGGGTACATTATAAATCAAATCATGTAACATACACTATAATTATGTAAACACAAACAGCGCCACAATCAAATTTGTGATGTTTTACTGTATCATAATTACTAAAGGGTCTATAGTATTGCATATAGTATTGTGCAGAAGAAAAAAATTATCTTCACTCTATAATACTTTTCTCCATGTTTCCGAACACTATAAGTCCAAAAAGGCTAAAAAATCCCGTCTGGTGGTCTATACGTGCGTATGTATGTATGTATGTGCGCCTACACAATAACTACACTATACAATAACTCAAAATTTATTTGCGATTTTGACTATACATATTTGATATTTAAGAACGGACAGACGGATTTTAACGAAACTTGCACGGAAGGTGCGGACCCACGAGACGCTTCCGAAAAAAAATCGGCGTCAAAATCTGTTTGACGGTTTCCATGGAAACCGCGAAAAACCTCGAAAAATCGCACGGAAATCGTCCAAATGTCCTATGAGTCCCTTTTTCGGGATTTGGGTGCACTATGGAAGTGAGTTTGCATAAACGGCAGACGCTCAAGATATCGTAGGTGGCTGATAAGAAAGATTTTTTCGTCTCCCGTCAAATGTCACTTTTTTATGACGTTTTAAAAATTTCTTTATCGTTTTTCGACATTTTAATGGAAACGAATAATTTTTTGAATATTTTTCCTAAACACCCCTCGCCCCTCTCTACCTCACCACGCACTCAAATTTTTCATCGGGTGCCATTTTTTTTTGAACCAATTCTTATGAGGGGTTTCCGGGCGACTTTAAAAAATCGTACCGTCCGAACGGATGGATGGATTCCGATGACACTCGAACGGAAGGTGTATACCCACGGGACACTTTTTGAAAAAAATCGGCGCCAAAATCTATTTGACGGTTTCCATGGAAACCGCGAAAAACCGCACGGAAATCGTCCAAACATCCTATGAGTCCTTTTTCCGGGAATTGGGTGCACTATGGAAGTGAGTATGCATAAACGGCAGACGCTCAAGATATCGTAGGTGGCTGATAAGAAGGATTTTTTCGTCTCCCGTCAACTGTCACTTTTTTATGACGTTTTGAAAATTTCTTTATCCTTTTTCGACGGTTTATTACAAATGAATAATTTTTTTATAATTTTTTTTGAACACCTTTTGCCACTCTTTAACTCACCACGCACACGGATTTTTTGACGGGCGCCATTTTTTTTTTCGGACAAATTTTGTATGAGAGATTTCCGGACGAAACGTCCCGTCAGCGTCCCCGAAGGGGTCGCTGCACAATATTTAATCACTTTTTATATTTTCATGTTTTTCATCATGTCCGAGACCTCTACTAATTCTATCGAAATATTTCCCTTTACCTCTTCTTTTTTTTAGAGAGGAAGTAACAGGTGTTTTACGACTTTTACTTCCTCTAAATGATCAAGTTTGGTCATCTTTCGGAAGCATCGACGTCGCCGAAACGCCACCGCGCTCGGTCAGAAGACCTCACTAAATCATTCAATCGGTAATAGCGACGGGCAGTGTGTACAAAGGACAGGGACGTAATCAACGCCTTGTAATATTGGCAGTTGGCGGAACCAATACAGACCTCAGAAAAACTTCAGGAAACCTGCAACAGAATCAATCGATGGACAAAAAAGCGGAAAATAAAAATAAATCAAACTAAATCAGACCATGTTGATTTTACTCTTCGACCAAATGAACAAAAACAAATAAGAATAAACAATGACGTTATTCCGTATCACGATTCGGCTAAATACCTAGGGATGAACCTAGATGTAAGACTTAAATGGAAAGAGCACATAAAAAAAAGCGTAAAGAACTTGAACTTAAATTTAAAAAAATGTATTGGAAGAAAATCCAAATTGTCAGTGCACAACAAACTGCTGATTTATAAACAAATCCTAAAACCAATCTGGATGTATGGCATACAGCTATGGGGATGTGCCAGCAAGAGTAATATCAACATGATACCAGTTTTCCAAAATAAAGTCCTAAGATGCATTATTGATGCACCTTGGTTCTACCGAAACGATTATCTTCATAGAGACCTGAAGATGCCAACAATCGAAGAAGAAATAAAGAGGTTTGCTGCGAAACATAAGGGTTGACTCCACTCCCACGTCAACCAAGAAGCGCTGCAATTACTGGACAACTCAACACTCAACAGAAGGCTCAAAAAGAAGAAGCCATTGGGGACTTCTTAGATAAGTAATTAGTTATAAGATTTTTAGATTAAAATTGTAGGTTAGTCAGTAATGACTAGTAACAATACTCTAACAAAAAAAAAACAAAAATTGGTATTTGAAAAATAGTAACATTTATCAACATACCGAATATTTTTATATGGATAGGCTTAGAAGTCAAGTTTATTTTCCTTGTTTTAAATTAACACGTATGTCACATCTTTTCGTTTTTGAGATACAGTCATAACACAAAATCATCTCTATCGTCGAGTAAATAAATATTTAAAGACTTTCTTTATTAAATATATTCCAACTACTAAAATATTAAAGTTGCAATAAATTCTATAAATACAATATTAATTTATCTAATTAAAAAAAATGCAGTATGTACAATTCCTTTTAAAATAAAAGAAAAAAATATTAGAGAAGAACCCCATCCAGAAATATGAAAATCTTCCCCTTATTGATTCATATATTTTATTATTTATTAATACAAAAACAAAATAAGTTAAAAAGACAATTTTATGAAAAAAAGGATTGTTTTTATACAGGGTTTTATTGAAATACAAGTACATATTAAAAATTATTGTAAACTTTTTCCCATAGGTGTGACAGAGTCGGCCCAGTAGTAGTCAATGTTGTTAAAACATGTATTCTTGGTTGCATATATGAGGACCGTTTATCTAATTGGAAGAATTTCTGCAGAAAGAAAGTAACCTACAAATTTGAGATTTCAAACCTCGATAATGACTTATCTATTGCGTAAAATTTATTAAATATTTAATTATGACTATTTTTTTTTAAGGTTTATCTTACCCAACCAAATAATTAATCTTATGATGACATGGCCCTAGTAGAGGAACTGGTCCGATTATGGGCAACCTCAAGAGCTGGAGTAAAGGGCAAAAAAAGAGTTTTTGATTGCTAAAACGAACCCATAAAAAAGAAAACAGAATCAGCCAAGAAGAAACAAAGACAGCAGGATAATTTTTCAAGTGACTCAGAAGTTACCGAAGATTTTACGCCAGACGATGAAGATAATGACTTAAAGCAAATAGGTGACATTCCAAAAAATAGTGATGCAGAGTGCATGTTATGTTCCGGTCGGTTTTCGGAGGATCAACGTGGAGAACTGCGGATTCAATGTATTAAATGTTCTCAGTGGGCTCATGAGGCTTGTTCATTTAAATTTTAGTTTATTATTTTATTATTTAAAGCATACATGTAGAGGGCATTTAAGTTAAAATAAAGGTATTAAATATATTTTCTTGGTCTTTCTTTTGAAACTTAGTGAGGGGCCCATATTAGGAGCACCTCAGGTCAGGAACCCAAAAATACATTTTTTCATATTTTTTTAAATAATATTTAAAAAATTAGCAATGAGCACAAAATCAATGAAGTTTATGATTCTACTATTACAAAGGAATATATATACAAACAAATTAACAATTCAGCTGAAAGAGAAGAGATTTATTTAAAAAAATAAAAATGGGGGCCCATATTCGGACCAGTTTCTCTATCTTTAAATTATCTCTCTTATTATTTATTATAAGATCATAATTTGACAACCCTTAGAATTCTTAAGTTTTATCTAGCAATAAGCAGGAATAGGTACGTTTTTTACAAATTTTTGCAGTTTTTATGATATCGGCGTATATAGTTAAAAAATCGGTAAAACAGGAAATTTTTTGGACGCATCAAATAGAGAGTGTTGCCTTATTTTGTTTCACGTATCAACTATAATTAGCAATATTTGTAGCTACAGAAAACTATATTGATTACCGTTAATTTTAGATCATATTTGTATTATCGTGACTCCATCTCGCTTTAGCGAAACGTAACTTCTATAGGATAATATAAGCCTATGTTTTGCACATTTTAATATGTACGTATATTTCCATAACCCCCTGTATACATCGGACTAGAAACAAGGTTTTAAGACTTCTATACAATTGCGAGAAGCGACCTGCAGAGTTGCAAAAAAATCGCTATATTTATATAAATATTTATAATTTAGTGATTAATTGAATAGGAACCTAACATTTAAAAAAAAAAACGTAGGAAACGATTTAATCTTGCACTGCTACAATGATATTTCTTAAAGCCGTTCTGGCATCACAATCGCGAAGTTCGTTTAGAACGTCCAAAGCCGCTTTTGAATGATCCTTTTGCAAATTTTTGGTCATTTCTAAGCCTGGTCCGTCCAATACTGCTTTTCTTACTGCTTCGAAATCGACTTTTTCGATTTCGTCGAGTCCTAAAATAAAAACATTAAAACTTAAGACATAATCGATGGTGAATCGATGGTTATCCAGTAAAACTTTTCACGAAAACGCATCGTTGTTGAATAAAATAAAAATAACTGGGATAAAACGTCGAAAAAAATATATATGTTAATATATACCTTCTTCCGATCATTCTCAACTCTACACAGTAAAATTTTGTCAAAACCTTCTTTGTTATCTAGGTCTTAAATACCTAATTCCTATGGACCATATTAAATCGTTAAAAATTCTGCTATAAACGTAAAATTATACATTATACAAATACCTTTTTCTATTAAAGTGTACACTTCTGGATTATGCTGTAGGGTAAACAAAACTGGAGCACTAATTAGGCTAAAAGATCCTACAGTTCCTGGGGTAAATGGTTCTCTGTCCAAGCAAGCCTGCCAAGCGAGGGCTAAATGTTTCCCAAACAAATATCCCTTCTGTTGCAGTTCGTAAGAGTGACCTGCTAACTTTAAAGTTCCTTGGCATGATTTACCCAACAAACTACCTATAAAAAAGTAAAATAATATTAGATTAGGCTTTAACAAAGCTACACCTTAACCGCTCAGCCCATCTGGCTCTCATAATTTCAGCACTATATCCCCCACCACAAACTCAAGTTAACTGCATTTTAACCAATAATAGCGGACATTATAACTAATGCCTTCTGGCATTGCTACTGCGCATGATTTTTTCTTTAACGTTAATCTACATGAAATTTTCCCTTCGATTCAGACCTATAACAATGGAGACAATAATGCCCTTGAGGCACATAAGTTCGGCTCAAAATGAACAGCTGAAAATAATCCTCCAATATGTCCACACATACAAAATCCTTTATAGCAGCTTTGTTATTAAAATTATATTATCATTGTCTTTCCCACCCGTTAAAAGTATGTTAATTAAATAATATGTATAATAATTTACCTGCATTTAGGACGTGCCTCAAAGTCCATTCAGCTCTAGCATTACCTAATGCTTCGCTAACAACCAACGGTTCCATATTACTATCAACAAATTGATTGTATCCTCTTGCTTCAGCTTTAGGTTTTGCTGGTAAAGGAGCATTTTGAACATCTCTGGGCTCCACAAATTCAGCTTCAGCCAAATCTCTAACGGCTGAACTCATTAATTCCACAAGTTCTTGATTTTTCAAATTAGCTAATTCCACACAACTGTTGCTGAGTAGATAGTCCCCCGATAGAAGGGCAATTTTGTTACCTGATATCATGTCACCTAAAAAAACACCAATTAGTTCTTATTTTAACGGGAGGGCAGGTATAATATATTCAAATTAAGAAGTAAAAATACTGGAAAGAAGGACTTAGGTAAATAACTTTGGTATAAGTGGTTCAATGATATATAAAATTGTGTAGGATTTTCGATAGAGGAAAGTATAAAAGAAAAAGTAACAGGAAATCAGAAGATGAACGATTTCTTAGCCCTAAGAAACCTCTGAAGACTGTCTATAAAGCGTATTAATGTTGAAGAAGAATTGTGAATGATGGGAGACGCTGAAGAAGTTTCTGGAGATAGTTTACAACAATTTTGCATACTAAATATTATACCAGGACTAATTATAGAAGACAAAATCATCAGTTGCTTTGATGAGTGGTGAAAAAAACCATTTTAACCTACAGAAACAAAGCAAAGTATCTACAAATAATGAAGTTGTGAGATAAGGTAATTAAGATAAAGAATAAAGACGTTGCATGAAAAGGAGTAGGGATGTTAAAGAGATAGGATGGTACAAATAGTAAAATTAAATTTTATGAAACACTTCGTATTTTACCTGGTGCATCCACTTTTATTGGTGGCTGTAAATTTACCAATCCTTTATGTACTAAGTGGCTCGTCCTGATCATCTCTGTAACTTCAGCTAAGGCTCGTTGACTGTGCAATACTCCAGCTGATTTATCTTCTTCCATTTCTGGAATATCCGGTGAATGTCCCGCTGCCTTTGAAACTAACAGAACTATCAGACCCCACGCTTGCATGTTGTTTTTGCCATTATACAGTAACCCTCTATAACAAATCGTAGAATAATTTTGGAAATCATCGAACGATTTAAAATTAATTGGTTTATACATGTTTAGTAAGACTGCAGATACATAAGATATGTCTGTACGGACAAAAAAGCGAAGAGGTAAAAAACGACCAACCATTAGTGAATTAATTAAGTATTGTCTTAAAATTATAGTTTAAAATCATATCTAATGAACCGTCTTCAACCTCTTGAGTGTCTGTGCCACAGATCACCAAACTTCTGGGATACCGCAAGGATTTGTTTTAGAACCACATGTTTTCATCTTATTTATTAATAATATTATTAAACACATCAACATTACGACTGCTGTATTAATTTTTTTATGCTGATGATCTACAATTATATACAGTATGGTTCAAATGAAAGGAATAAATTCATTATAATGGAAGTAGCTGGTTTTTCGAAAAAATGCTCGGACAGGTCAATTTTGTTTACTCAAAGCGCAATTTTTTAAATAGAATTCAATTTTCCCCCACTTCCCATTTTTGGGCAGTGATGTCATTGACAATTTTTTTAAATGGTAACCTCAATTTTTTTTTCTTGATTTTGATAGATCTTGCAATTTCCTACTCGAAAATATAATATTTGAAATATCTTACATAACAATTTTTTTTGAATAGAAGACATTTAAAGATCAGACACACAAATTTTATTTTATTTTGAGAACACAATAAATGAATAAAAGATAATTATTTGTAATTAAATGCCTAATCTAACAAAATAATAATAAAAATAATAATAATAAAAAGAATTTGTGAAATTGTCATTAATAGTATATTACATTACGAGTGTGGAAAGTGACATTTTTCACACGAGTGGGAAATATTGTCGCACGAGTGTGGAAAATCACTTTTCACACAAGTGATGTACAATATTTTTCCTACGACCACAAAATAATTTCATCAAAAAATGTAAAACCAGATTATTATAATAATTAAAATGTATTTAAAAAAATAATCAACAATAATCGTATTTATTAAATTTTCATAATTTCTAAACAAATAAAAAAAAAATAAAAAAAAAAAATCTGGCACAGCCAGGATTCGATCGCGGTCGTTGGACGGTCTCAAATTGCAAAGTTGATGCTCTAACCAACTGAGCTAACAGGCCTTACGGTAATTGATTGATCTAATCGCTTATGTGTTTAACCAGAATAAAAAGCAAATATATCTTAGTTATTTAAAAATTATTTTAAAAATAATTGTTAAAGATAAATATCTAGGATCTAATTTACAATAATTTAACAATCATATCGATTTTAGTATTAATATGGACATTACATAGATCAAAATAGAAATTATGTGTTTGACATTTTCTGACAGCTACTGCGGAAAGTAGCATATTCTCACTTGGGTGGAAAGTAAATTCTTATTCATATGCGTGTGATATAGGGCACTTTCCATAGGTCTATATAGTGTGATATGTGTCACTTTCCTAAGTGGTCGTAGGAAAATTCTTTTTATTATTATTATTATTATTATTTTTTTTTTTTTTTTAGATTAAGCACTTAATTACAAATAATTATCTTTTAATAATTTATTGTGTTTCAAAATAACATAAAATTTATGTATCTGATCTTTAAATGACTTTTTTTTAAAAAAAACTGTTATGTCAGATATTTCAAATATTATGTTTCCGAGTATGAAATTTCAAGATCTATCAAAATCAAGAAAAAAAAATTGGGGTTGCTATTTAAAAAAATTGTCAATGACGTCACTGCCCAAAAATGGGAAGTGGGGGAAAATTAAATTTTATTTTAAAAATTGCGCTTTAAGTAAACAAAATTGACCTGTCCGAGCATTTTTTCGAAAAACCAACTACTTCCATTATAATGAATTTATTCCTTTCATTTGAACCATACTGTATATATAACTACGGAAAATTGATTTAGTAAAATATTTTAATATAATTCTGATTCAGTTGTTTAAGCAAGCACTTAATTCTTGTATTGCATTTTGTTTTTAATGAATTAGATCTTCTCTACTTACTCTATTACTATTTTTTTTTATTTTGTTATGTTTTTAGTTGTTTGTTTTGTTATATTTATATGTTCGATTTTTATTTCGCAATTAGTTTCATTAAACCATTAAACTTAAACTAAAGATATATCTAATTAAAATCGGATTTTAATAATATTTTGTGTTAATCACCAGTGGCGGTTTGCCCGTAAGGGCACTTGGGCAAGTGCCCTAGTATAATAAACAAAAAAAATAAATAAATAACTTACATATTTTATATTTTCATCAATACCTATTATTATTATTTTATCTAATATTCAGCGCAGACCAAGCGTTGAGCGACGTTCCGAGAATTCCGAAATTAAGTGGAAGACGGGCACAGTAAATGTGTGCCTCTGTTGTTTTCTATCTCATTATTATGCGAAAAACAAGGACAACGACAATATCGCTTAGCAAGAGTTGAACACATGCGATGGATTATACGTCACAAGCGGGGCGCTGTCCTGATCGTGACGTGCTGTATCCATGGCACAGATTATCTAAACCAGATACGAATGTACGCAGCGGCATCGTTACCGGCTCCCTCACAAAGGCGATGCCGGTTTAGGCTTAAGGTACGTGTTTCTTGGACCATGATAATAATTTATTTATTGTGATTACGAAAAAACCTTAATTGGACCATTGGAATAGTTAAAAAATAAAACTGCAAAGAAAAATAACTTTTTTTTCATAAAGCAGTCAAAAATATGATGAAAAAAAAATCAATAATATTTATAAATGAGACAAAATTTTAATTTTTCTTTTGGTTTTGTCTGACTTTTTCGAGGATTTCAAATCTCTGTTTGCATATTTAAGAGTCTTTTTTTTTTGTATCATCGGCGTCGACTACTACGGCCATTAGCCTCGTGTTCTGTGTAGGCTTTGTTACTGTTTCCCAGCGCCACTTTAGGAACAGCACTGTTAATTAGAACCCAACAGTGAATGGTCGAGTGGGGAATCCTACCAAGGCATCAGAATTAATATAAATAATTTAATGGTGTACATTTTCGCAAATTGTTTGCGAAGATGACCAAATTTTAGCGCGCGTTAGCCATGTTATCCATCGAAAAAAAACTTATTCTGTCCATTCCAAATTTTAATAATCTGGTTATCAATCACTTCGCTAGCCAAAAATCCAGAAGAATGTACTTCAACTATAAGAAATAGTATACAACTGCAGCGGTACCTAGCAGTTTGTCTTCAATTTTGTAATATTTAATTTGTTTTGAAATATATTTAATTTTTATTAAGCGGAGAACTTGTTTTTCTAAGGGAAAAACGAATCCCGGGATTCCTTTCCAGTGTGTGCCTCACTGCCGCTAGTGCCCACGAGCCGCCACTGTTAATCACTACAGCCAATTTTAATTAGGTGCGTACAAATCTGGAAAGACATTTTTTTTAATCGTTACAAACCTGTACACAGTATTTCATAATTAAAATTACAAAAATATACATCAGACAGCTGAAAGAGTGCCAAACATTCTTAAATTATTTTAATCACTTGATACAGTAAGTATAGTAGGTAATACGTGTTTTATTGAATATAAAATGTTTCCTATTTTAATAAATTCAATCCTTTTAAAACTAGATTAAATTTAACATATAAGTAGCAATCCTTGTTAAAATTATTTGCAAAAAACTAGTTCTTTTGTTAAGTAAACATCTTATATGGGTAAAACGATAAGGTAATACGCCATACCAACTAAAACCTTTATAAATTTAGACACTGCAGTAATCTAAAGAGTTCACAACAATTTTGTTTTTGGAGAATATATAAATAAAACTTTTTTCTTTGTAAGCTATACCAATAAAGAATAAAAATTTATTAAAGGCGGATAAAATTACTTATAAATCTTTGCTTTTTAAAGGTCCCGAATAAAGGTTTCTTATAAATGTAGCATCAAAGTGTTTACGGTTCCAAATTGGTTGCAAATACAGTAACGATAAATTTGTCTTTAAAATACTATTTGAGATTGCTTTATTAAACCCTTGTAAGTATCTACAAATAAGATTTATTATATTTTGTAAAGCATTTATAAGGGAACTAAAAAACTTTTTTGATTTTAAATTTGGTAACCAATTTAAGCCCATAAGAGTTGTATAAAGCTTGTAAAATTATAAAACTTATTCTCTTATAAACATTTGCTTTAAGAATATTCTTATAGCTTTTATAAACCCCTCATGTACTACTTGGAATTTGTTTCAAATAAGTAAGCTATTAATTTTTATGTTATAAGACGCCTTACATACCATTGTTGATGGCAACAGATATTTTTGTATTTACAAAATAGGCCGTGTTTTGGAAAAAGTGATCACCGCGTCCCAATCTCCCCTACATAACGCACTCTTACCAATATGTAATACCAATATGAAATAAAAAAAAATGTTTTATTTACTTACTTTGCAGTTTTTAACAATGGATGATTCGATCCCACCAATTTTCTTAACTGTAAAGCTACATTAGCAATTTCGTCACTCAACAACCACCGCAAACTTAAAAAACTCGTGGGGTAACCCACGATTTTTTCCGCTTCGCTGACGGCCCTGTTCCAGTCGGGTTTTTTTGTGTTTGCTTGTAAACTAGAACTACCCGATTTTCGCGAACTATTTGTATACACTGAAAGAGGCGACGCCAAAATCCTTTTTCTAACAAAATTGAATGAACATTTCGATAAAGACATTGTCAATTTGAATTAAAAAAAAACAACGACAATATTATGCGAGGTACTCTTTATTAATGTTAAGAAAGTATACAAGGTGAGCTAAAGTGAAAGTTGGCCTACTTTTTGGCGGAATGTATTTATTTATTCTTCAGTAGAAGGAAGATATTTCGCAAAAATGTTACCTTCGTTGTATTTATTTTTTTTATTTTGTTGAAAGATAATGTTTATTTTAAAGTTTGTAGATTGGTAAAAAAAAATAGATGGAGGTACACAATTTTTACTTTTATATTTTAATAGTTAATCAAATGCAAACAGAAAGATATTAGATTTGATTTTATGTAGATTTAACCTAAATTAATTTAATATGAAAATGATTAATTCAGTGGCGGCTCGTCACCAAAATATTGGGGTTCACAATGACAGAATATAGATCTCAGTACAGATTTAAGTAAAAAAAGTTTAGTATGTATAACATACCTTTCCAAAACACTGAAAAGTTTTTTACCCAAATCATTGTGAACCCGCAAAATTTTGGTTCCCAGCCGCCACTGCAAATTGACATTTTCAAGTCAATATAAAAAGTTTATATGCAGGTGTCGACAAGTGAGGGTATATGTTTAACTAGGTCAGTTTCATTCGCGTATATAGTGTTAATATCTTTTAATCGTGATTGTTAAAAAAAATCAACATTGCAAAACGTAATGTTTAAGAATAAAAATAAAAATGTGCCAATAAAAATAGTTTTACAACGTGTAGAAAAAAAAATAAAAGAAAAAAAAAATAAAAGAAAAAAAGAATCGGCACCTGCTGAAGTGCTTTTGGAGCAAAAAACAGGACCTGATTCAGGAAAATCAAAAAAATTACATGGAAACAATGAAAGTAAGAGAAAATTAAGCTAGAAATCAGAATGAACAAGTGTTGTAGAGCTCGATTTTTTTGTGAAGAGCACATTTCGTCATAGCTATGCCACAGTTCGCGCAGTACGTCATAACTTTGTGGAGCTTTAGTTGGTAGCGCTGGACTGAAATCTGCAGCGGTAGGGGTACCTGATATCTTTGCAGTGGCGTGTGTACATTAATAAAATATTTTAAATCGAACATATTATTAATAATTTAGTGTTAAATTTTAACTATTCGTTAGTTAAATTGCTGATGAACTTTAAATTAATAAAACAACTAAAAGTTTAAATAAATAATATATTTTAATTTAATTTGTATAATTTTAAACATTTTCATCATCTTCATCATCTTCCAAGTCGGAAATATCGGATTCCCACTCATCGGATGACTCCGTGTTTACACTAAATATGAGGGAATCTGTAAATTAATCCATAAGGTATTCTCTTTGAATATATGCATCCTCATATTTCGCGGAATGGTCCACCACGTCTGCCCATTCTTCCGGCGTTATGCTTCGGAATTTTTCTCTTGCCAACTTTTCAACATTATCCAACTTGAATGTTGTGTTATGTTGACCCACTAAATTTTTTACTGTGGCCCATATTTTTTCTATGGGATTTAATTCGGGATGATATAAATTAAAGTTTATATACACACAAATCAAAGCACAAAAACTCAGGATTCTCAAAAATCGAAGCATAAAACTCAAGAAACTCAAAATAGCTAAATAAATGCAACAAGTACAAATGAGTAACACTACGCTACTGAATTCAACTTGTATGAGCGGTGATGAGCGGCAGGCGGCTTCGATCACGTTTAAATCTGTCTGACCACGTCTACAAACTCAAATTGGTTTCTGCACATTATGAAGAAGTGTGCTCTTCACAAAAAAATCGAGCTCTACAATGTTTGGATACATGAAAAAGCTAAAAAAATAGCAACTACAAAGTGCCTTGCAACAAATGCAAAACAATATGAATTCCTGCGTTGTAGAAATATTCTTCTTTGATTTACACATTTATTTATTTTTGATAATTAATAATGAAGACAAATTTAATTTGCAACTCTCTATATACTTTTTAGAGCATTTACTTTAAAATACGTGGCCGGAAATCATGATACCACCTATAATTATTAGAAACAAAGCATGGAACATAATAACAATTTCTGTTATACAGATATTTTTCAACTTAATCTAACAAGACCGAAACGGGCAGTATTAATATTATAAAGAAGTTTTGTTTTTAGTTTTAGCGTTGTCTAATCGACAACTGTATTTTTTGTTCTGTTATTTTTTTGTAATTTTTGTAAATTACGTATGTTAATCTATTTGAAATTAATTTCCTATAGAGCTTTATATTTAAATAAAGTGTAATATCAGGGGTTTGAGTTTGTCAGGCGAGTTCTAGACCACCCTGTATATACGAAAATAGATACATTTATTTATAAGTCGTCGTTACTATTTTTAGTACTATAATTACGTTTTATGATCAGTACATACATTTTGCATTTAATATTGTTATACTTACCTTGTTTACTTTGACAATTAAGTATGTGTGCTTGTTAATAATGAAGTAGCTAGGCACTGATTACATAAATGTTTTATGCTTTCAGAAAAACTATACCTAATTGATTTTAGTCAACAATTTTAAATAGCATATATGGTATTACGGAGAGTTTTTTCTGTTTTCTATCCCTAACCAGTTGAATTGATCCAGCTTTTTTAATGTTTATTCAAACAGGTACTTAATAGATACAAAATAAAATATGAGAATAAACAATCAGTTGTGATCAAGTGCGGATTTAGCTTTTTTTATGGGGGGTAAAATTTAAAAAGAAATAGAATGAAATATTGGATATAGTAGGGATAAAAATATGAAAAGATATTATTTTCACTCATACTACCCTGTTTAGTCCCAATAATCTAGAAAATTCAGATATCTTCCAAATTGAATTTATCTGATGTAAGTAGGCATAATAAGAACACATAATATCTATCTAATCTATCTATCTATATATCTTTCTATATATCTATTGAAACGCGACGCCCCTGGGTCTGATATTTTTTTATTCTTTTCTTTAAATAGTTTGTTGCGTTGTTCAAAGATATATCAATCACTTTCTATTCGACACGTCTTTTGTTCATCGAGTGTAAATTGTTGGACGGCAAATTCTAACTCAAAGGGCGGTCCGGGAGCCGTATATTGTTCGGGCTGTTTTTCGGGGTATTATGTTACGTGAAAGTTGAGTAGGCCCGCTACTCAACCTTTCTCTGTCTTATGCATTGACTAAATGGGGAAAATTAAAGTATAAATACGGAGTCCAAAAGTAAGAACGGGGTTAGAATTCTTCCTGCCTTTCTCAGGTCCAGTTGACAAAAAAAAGTGTAAGATTCAGTTATCTATAAGGTGACTCCCTTCTATATACTCTTCAAGTATATTGATTGGTTTATCCCGTTTAACTATAAGGTGACAGCTTTTTTTGTTATATTTGGAAAACGCAGACAAAGATATCGAGGGAGCAGATAAATTATTTTCTGTATGAAACGACTTCTGTTGCGCTATACACCGTTACCTTTAAGGTGACTTCTTTCGTTATACATTTGTATATCGAGAGGTAGTTATGTGTTACCTATCAGGTGACCAAACAGACGGACGTTTTAAAAGAGCTTAATTTTTCTCTCTTCTAAGGGTTTTGTAGGATTGTATTTCCGAGTTATTGGATTCTTTGCGTGACTTGTCTTGGTGAACCGTTGCCTATGGTGACGACGCCGGATAAAGAAATAGCGAGTTATTTAGTACCTCTGATCCAATTGTATAAAACTTGTGGAAAACGACTAAAAGTATTGCGATTGTCGTTCTACTTTTGTCGACGATATCTTTTTCTTTGTTGTGTGGATCCCCGTACGTCGATTTTAGCGATAATTGTATCTTCTTTTAGACGTTACGATTATTGGTTTTTATCGCGGAAACGCCGTTCTAGAACATATTTCGAGATCAGCGTTTTCGACAATTAAATAAACATGAAAACATACTTATAACTGCATATTATAGATCCCCAGCATCTACCATTAATACTTTTATAGAATCTTTAGAACAATTTCTACAGGTTAATACTACTAATAATGAATATTGTTATTTATTTCTAGGCGATATAAATATAGACGTTCTATCGAAAACTCAACAGGTAAATGAATATCTTAGCCTAATGAATCAATTTGGATACAAATCGGTTATAAATAGTCCAACTAGAATCCAAGGAGAATATAAATCATGTATTGACCACATATTCATTAAAGTAAAACAACAAACATTATTACAACATTTATTACCTTTAATAATAAAAACTACAGTTACTGATCATTTTTCTATAGCGTTACAAATTGTTCATAATTTTGCATTAAACAATGGGAACACAAATAGGCAACACTTCAAACAACAAATTCTATACAAAAAATTAAAATCCCAAATACAACATACATCTTGGCATAATATCTTTGAAAATAATGACCCGGAATCTGTAACAAAACAATTCATTGAAACTATAACTTCAAACCTAAACAAAAGTATTATTAATATTAAGGTATACAGGAAAAAATCTAAACTCACACCTTGGATGACTAACGAATTAGTCAAGTTAATTAACACAAAAAACAATTTACACAAACAAATTAAAAAATATCCTCACAACGAAAATTTAAAACATGAGTATAAATATTACAGAAATAAAGTAACAAACTCAATTAAAAAATGTAAATTTAATTACTATCAAAATTTGATTAACAATAATAAAAATAATTCACAACAACTTTGGAAAATAATTAATAATCTTTCTAATAATAGTAATAAGCCAAATCGCGAAATAAAATCCTTATATAGTGACAATGACCAGGGGATCTTAGTATCAGATCCTAAACTTATTGCTAGTCAGTTTAATAAAATCTTTTCAGAAACTGGAGAAAAATTAGCAAATAAAATTAAACAACCTCCCAATTATCAACCTCCAAAAATTTCTGTTCCAAATAGTTTTGTATTATATCCTACTAATAAAAATGAAATAAAAAATATAATTAATAATCTAAAATCTAAAAAATCACCGGGAATTGATAAAATTACATCTGAAATTTTACAAATTATATCTCCTTTTATTCAAGAACCTC